TTGTCGCCCGTCAGCGTCGCCCACAGCAGCCCGCCGAGCTCCGCGTACGAGCCCGAGATGCCAATCATGGACCCGCGCGTGGCGATGGACAGCAGCTGCGACAGGCTGATGAGCAAGCCGCCGAGCGCGCCGGGCAGGCTGGTGCCGGGGAAGCGCGCCGGGGCGTAGCGCGCGGTGGCGACGAGCACGCCGCTGAAGACGAGCTCGTACAGCAGCATGGCGGCGGGCTTGGACACGCCGAGGTACTCGTTGACGGTGACGGTGACGGGTGCTTTGCGCCGGCGCGCTACGACGGGGCTGAGCACGCCGGTCCACAGCACGCCGCCGGCCAGTGCCCCGGCGAGCGCGTAGAAGCCCGTGTGCACGCCCGCGGCCATTTGCGCAAACAGCGTGCCCGGGCAGGACCCGGACAGCGCCATGCCGGCGCCGAGGAGCGCGCCGCCGAGCAGGTTCCCGTCGTACGTGGTGGGGAGCAGCCCGAGGGGCGCTGAGGCGCGGGGCGTGAGCTTGGCCCAGCCGGCGCGGTCGCTGACGGCGTAGTAGACGCTGCGAGGGGGGAGGGGGGGTTAGCTTTTTTTGCGAGACGTGGTGGAGGCGGGAGAAGGGGCAGGGGGGCCGGGATTGTGGCGTACATGCTCGAGGCGGTGGCGGCGAGAAAGGCCTGCATCATGTGCCAGTTGGAGAAGCGCAGCTGGGCGATGACGACGGCCGGGTTGGAGAAGCCGGCGGCAATCATGGCGGCGCCAAACGAGGCGCCGGCGAGGACGGTAGCCATGGGGGGTCGGGGGTTTGGTGAGGGTGTTTGGTTGTGAAGGAGGGAAGAAGTGAGTGCGGGAGACGGCGAGCGAAAAGTGAAAAGTCACGACATTGGGTGGACGGATGACGACAGGCTGGTCTGGCACGGACTACTTATAAAGGCAGATTTGCATCGCCGAACCAGATATTTGTATATGGCTCGACCTGAGATGGAAATCTTGGGAATTTGAATAGACCAATAAGAGGCTTTGGAACTTGTCGAGAATTACCAACTTCGGCGAGGTTCAGCGTTTTCGGCGACCAACAAGCCCGATCCCCGGGGTTTGAGATTTACAGGGGTTTTCAGGCCTCGATCCACTATATCACCGCGAGCAATATGACTCGGCAAACGGCAGCAGCAAGGGCTGTGTTTCTTCAGTTTTTTTTTTTTTTTTTCCTTTTTTCTTGCAATCTTTTGCTCAATTTGGAATATAGGCTGTACTCGGATCTGCCAGGAAAGTCCGTTGAAATAATTGGTGCTTCCCATTCTTCATCCGCTCGTCCGTCCAACTACGCCAACCTCACATGGGCACAACATCAGGCGCTCGCCATCAGAAACACATCAAAACAGTAAATACATGACAATTACATCAGTCCTTCAATCACCCCTCATATCCCCACCATCCAGTTCCGGGCATGATCTCGTCAGCCTTCTCCCCGTACTAGCCGAGGTAGCCGCCGACGTGGGGCCGGACCGGGTCTGCCGTGGCCGCAGCGTCATGACCCCCATACATCTATAAGCTAGCTCCCAGCCAACCCTCATCTTTGAACCTCTGCCATGCATCATCTGTATTCCCAGCACCGATTGTAATCACTCGTCATGCCTCGCTCACTGCAGCTCGTCGACGTCGAGGGCGCCAAGCCCGGCAAAGTCTACTACCCGTACGCACCCCCGCCCATCACCCTCCCCCAGCTAACACAAACCACAGCCTCCAAATCAAACAGGTCCCCAAGCCCACGCCCGGCCCCGACGAGGTCCTCGTGCGCATGACCGCCGCCGCCCTCAACCACCGGGACCTCTTCATCCGGCAGCACCTGTACCCCAACATTGACACCGCCAAGCCGCTCCTCGCCGACGGCTGCGGCGTTGTCGTCGAGCTCGGTGCCGGCGTCGCCCCCTCTCTGCTGCACCAGTCCGTCATCCTCACCCCGAGCCGGGGCTGGGACCGCGACCCGCAAGGGCCCGAGGACCCGTCGCGCTTCGTCATCTGCGGCAGCCAGCAGGGCACCGACGCGGGGTGCGCGGCGGACTACGTGCTCGCGCCCGCCACCGAGGTTGAGCCGATGCCGGCGCACCTCTCGCCCGTCGAGGCCGCGGCGCTGCCGCTCGTCGGGCTGACGGGGTGGCGGGCGCTGGTGACCAAGGCGGGCATCGACGGGCCGGGCAAGAACGTGCTCATCACGGGCATCGGCGGCGGCGTGGCGCTGCAGGTGCTCCAGTTCGTGGTGGCGCTCGGCAGCAACGCGTACGTGACGTCGGGGGACCAGGCCAAGATTGAGCGCGCCGTGGCCATGGGCGCGCGCGGCGGCGTGCTGTACACGGCGCCGCGCTGGGGCAGCACCCTGAAGAAGACGCTGCTGCCGCGCGACAGGCCCTGGCTGGACGCCGTCGTCGACGGCGCGGGCGGGTCCGTGGTGCAGGAGACGGCGGCGGTGCTGCGGCACGGCGGCGTCATTGCGCAGTACGGCATGACCGTCGGCCCCAAGATGGAGTGGCTGATGAAGGCGGTGCTGGCGAACATTGACCTGCGCGGGTCCACCATGGGCTCGCGCCGCGAGTTTCGAGACATGGTTGCGTTTGTCAACGAGCATAGGATTAAGCCCGTCGTCAGCCAGAGCATCCGCGGACTGGGCAACCTGGAGCAGATCAACGGGCTGTTTGACGTCATGGCTGCAGGCCGCCAGTTTGGAAAGCTCGTGATTGAGATTGACGACGAGGCTGAGGCTGCCAAGTTGTAAGAGCTTCCTCTACGATGAAGATGTTATGGCGCAGCTGACTGTTTGATGACTACCTGCAATAGCTAGAAGTAGTGTCATGTCCTGATCTATCGGCACTTGCGAATATAGTTTCCGGGTCGTCTTTCCGTCCAAGTAATAAATGCGCGCTGCGTCTTCTGAACCTTTTGAGGTGTGCTCGTCTAGCGTAACATACAAAACAGGTAACATGTCGCCTGACCCGTCTTCGTAACATTGACGCACTCGACAGCCTCGTCCCCGCGGCAAGCATTGTCAGCCTGCAGTCATGCACGCGGACGAGCCGGCCGTCTGCGTCCTTGGCAGCATTCTGGCACCGTTTTAAGATACCATTCCCCATGCCGTCCCTGGGACTTGCCCGAGAAGTGGCAAACTTGACCGCATAATATTCGCAGGGAGAGCCGCTGCCTCGAGCCCAATATCTGTGGCACATAGCCTTCGGGTGTAGAAAATATGGCAAAACCTCGTCAATTTTACTTAGGAGAGCAATATGACACAACTTCATTTCTCGGGTCTGCACACTAGTTGAAAGCTCTTGGAAGCTCTTCGTACCGCTTTGCTTTATGTTGCTAGGAGCAAGCACAATCCCCATTCCATAGCCTGACATTTCATATCCTATACATTGATAGCTCCATCTGCTCATACGGTTCAAATGCAGTAAGGCGAGCCGCTCTTCTCATTGAAAAAGCAGACAGTTCCCCGTGGGCAGCGGCCTGCAAACTATCATCATTGTCAGCGACGCTGCCAAGCTTGTTGAATGGATCAGATACTTACAACCCAGTCGCGAGAGGTGTTGCACACGTCCCAACTGCTGCGATCAGATGAGCATCGGTAGGTGCTGGGCTTGCACTTTGCCGCCTCATCTGAGATGCCGGCAGATACCGCGGTGACGGACAAGAGCGTGGCAATGGTGAGTAGAAGCTTCATCTCGACTGCTGGGAAGGATACGTGTGGGTTCAATGTATGAGGTCTGATTCAACACGATGCTGTCTGGTGATCAACTAAGCGGACATTAAATTCTTGCCATGACGGCTGGGCGGGGGTAGACTTATATATCTTGAACATGTTCATGCCTTGGGCTGAGTGCGCTGTCTCAGCCCCCCGGCTGACGGCGGCGGCGCAAGTCAGAGGCCGCAGCCAAAGTCTCTGCGCAAGTTGATCCTTTGTCGAATTCGGCACAGCGACATATTCAGGGTTGGGCATGGCTTGCCTCCCAGCTCCTGATTCCAGGGCCGCGCTGCTGCCCGTCCACGGCTACTTCTCGTGGGGGCTGAAAGAACGGTACCCAAACGCTTCTGGGAAGCGGGCACGGGATATCGTCACGGAAATGGTGGCGGCACATTATCCGAAACAAAACTCTAAAAGGATTCACCGTCTGTCACTTTTCAAATTTTTTTTCCTGCTCGCTCATGTACTGATCTGCGGCGCAGTCTGACCCCGACGACGGGACACAACTGCCGCGAGCCCCAAACCAAGTCGGATGTCAAGCCCCGATGTAGCAAATGATATACAGTGCAGAAACCGGCTGCAAATGGTGTCCGCGAATCCTCTGCTGCTTCTCTTCCGGTGTTGGTATGCGCTTCGACAGCATCGTGGCCGCGCGCCCTGCAAGCCTCTACACCGTCGCGACGCACGTCACCCAGCCGGGCATGCCCAGCTGGCAGATCGTGTTCTGCGGACAGTTGCCTTCCAACTACAGCCTTGGTCAGCTAGATAGTATCCGATGGTTGGGGTGGGCAAGTGGCATACAGTCCACCGGCCACCTCGGTGACAAATCTCCCAGGCTGTGCCGTCGAGCGCGCAGCGCAGCGTGCCGGGCTCGCACCAGGCCTGAGGTGCGCCGTTGGCAACAAAAGCGACGGCGAAGATGACGACAAGCTTCATGGCTGTTTGCTTCAGGGGCTCAAGTGCGGCAAGTCTAATCGGTTGGAAAATCAAGAAAGAGGCAAGGTTTTCCTTTGCGCACGTCGTGTGAGAAAAGGGAATGCTTGCCATTCGAACGACGGGAGACGGGAAGCTCAAAGTTTGATACTGTGGTTGTGGCTTAAGAAATCACGGGACTTTATTTTGTGACAGGTGCTCTGAGCTCTACGGCAGCCTATAGGTGAGTTATCGCCAAATCCTAATTCACACCTAGTATACAGTTAGATATAAAATAATATATATATAAGTAGGCTATTATATTTTTTAAATATATATTATCCTTATAATAAATATAGATTATTCTTATATCTAAATATAGCTACCTTACTTAATATATTTTAGTTTTACTTTATATAATATATTATATAAACCTTTCCTTCTTCTTTTTAGCTATTAATTCTATTAATCCCCCCCCCCC